TCCAACTTCCATGGGTGCAGAGGGAATAGAGTGGCTTCAGAAGGCCCAAGAGCTGCTATAACAGGGCTGACAAGCGTCTTTCAGTCCCAGGGCCAAATTCAGCTTTGGAGAATCTCTTGAGCTGCATTGGTGGATGGGGCTCACAGCAAAAGGTGCATATTTTAACTTACCTCTCCTACATACAGTAACTAAGCACTTTTAGGACATGCATTTCAACTTTTCAGAATGCAGAATAAACACACGTAAAAGCTTGAAGACCACCAAATGATGGGTGATGAGAGGAATATGTGAACAGTTGGGGAACACCAGAGAACTACAGTTGGTCCCCTTGCAGGTTTGTCCTATGGCCCTGTGGTTTGATATCTCTGTGGCATAACCTAGTAGCAGCAGCAGCCTCCCAACTCGTTTACATCTCAGTGGTGTTGAGATTTGGGGCAGCCATGAACATTCTTGCCAAGAGACTTCTGCATCCTTGCACCTGGAGCAGGCAGAAGTAAACCTGCATGCTGAAGAGTGGTAATCTAAGGTCTCCCTCCCAGACATTGCAGCATGCTTAGAATCTAGTAGGGGAACGGTATGTCGGTGTCCTATACAAAGCCATTCCATATTCTGCTCTTTGTGAATGCAGGGCTCATGCATTTGGACTTGGTCCTAATAGTGTTTTTCAACAACTGAAGATGCAACATAGTTGTTCCCATGAGCACTTGGTTCTTCTGGTTTTATAATAGCATCTTCGAAATCAATTTTTTGTCCCAATTAAGCAAGTGGAAGATGTACTTGGTGGAAGAACCAGTCTCAGAGGTATTTTTTCAAAGATCCAAAACTCCTAGGGGAAAATTAGGAAGTCTGATGTTGCAATAAGTCTCTGCAAGCATGGGCAATAGTTGGGGGAAGGGTGATGGGGAGGGAAAATTCTGGAGGGAACCAGATTAACTTTCTATGCTCTAGAGCATGGGTCCTCAAACTACAGCCCATGGGCTGGATCCGGCCCACCATGCCCATTTATCCAGCCCACCATAGCTCACCATGCGCGCACACACGCGCCGTGGCGAGGCACCGGCTTGCTCACAAGGAGATTGTTTTGGAGAGAACGATCTCTGCGCATGCACGCCCTTGCCTTGCCACGCACGCGAGCGCCCCCCCCAACCCGCACCCATCGCTGGCACCTTTCAACTGGCCCCCTGTTCAAAAAGTTTGAGGACCCCTGCCCTAGAAAGCTAGTTTATAGGAAGTCTTATCCAACTAAATTCAGACAGCAATCCTATGCACAGGTTAAGTCCCACTGAACTCAATGAAATGAACTTCTGTATAAACATGCATAGGAGTGCACTGTTAATCTGTTAGACATGTTCCTGGGCCTGGAACATTTAAAGAAACATTTGATTGCCTGGACACCTGCCTTTCTTAGTTAAGGTTGGCTCTTAAAATTGTTTTGCACTAGACATTTATCTTTCTTGGACTAGATGGAATTGAATAACTTTTTGTTTCTGCTTTACAACTCTCACCCATTTTTCAAGCAAGATGGTCCCAGTTTGTTAGATAAATAAATGTGTAAAATGCTTTTCTTGCAGCAAAAATACATATAGACTGATGTTAATCTGACTCTTTGATTTAAAGGTTTAGGGAAGAACTCTTTTGATTAAATGATGGATTGCCTCGCTTTATCCAGGGGCATCACATTTATGTTCTGTTTTTTTTAAAGCAGTGAAAATATACTGCGGAAGATGCATTTGGTATAACTTGCTTCCACTCTTTCACTGTTGGGCAACTTGTGGTCCTCCAGATATTTTGACATACTACCACTATGAGGGGAATAGTTAGCCAAAACATCTGTAAAGTTGCACATAGCCTCCTTCTATGCTCTATAACTATTTCCCACACACCTGAAGATGATAGCTGTGAGCAGTGGCTCGTCTTCATTTCAACTTCAAGTTGGAAAAATCAAAGGGCTGTGTGTGGATATTTCTACAAGACAATGTATTTTGCTTCTGCCATATAGTTGTCCTCATAGAGGCCTGGCCCTGCCCTTGCTTTGTGGTCTTCTGTTAAAATAATATTTGTGGCTTCTGAGAGTGTGATCTAACCTTATTTTCTGAGTTCAATACAGCAGCTATAGTGTACAGCTCTATACCACATCCCAACACATACCACTAAGCCAGCAGTACCTGCTTCTTGACCTACATTAAAGGTAACAGTAGTGTTTGGAAACTCAGCCAGGGTGTCTGAGATCTGCTAAAATGGAGAAAAAGCCAGTGACTCTGGAAGATTAGCACACCAAAGCATTTGCTGGTGGCTTCATTTGCTTCCAAATCTTGTGCAGGAGGAAGTGAATGCATGGGCTGTGATGTCACCTGATTAAGTTCATAAGTTAATGCTTTTCTTTAAATGGGAAGCTGCTTTTTGTTATAATTGTTCTCTTATCTTTTGAAGAGTGAAACAGCTTTTCCTTTCCAATGCTAATGAGCTGCTCTCTACAGCAAATGTGCTTTGTTGACATGGAAATGAGGCTTATCTGATCTCTGGGAAGCCAAACTTACAGTGCAAACTCAGCACTTGTGAACGCCTTTCTTTAGCCAAACCTCATCATGTACAAGTTGAAAGCATCCCTCCGACCAAATGTACACATCCTGTAAGCAAACAGCAAAACAAACCCAAGAGGTGGCAAATGTGGGTTCCACAGAAAGTTAAACATCTTTTAACTAGGAACTTTATAATGCCAGATGAAAGACAGCTTATTAAGGTAGTGAAACAAGCTTTCAGCTGCAATTGATGCTAAAGGTCTTGTGTGCAGCTGTGTTTGAGCATCTTTGTAATCCTCTAGGTTTATTGTTGCCAACCCCATAGACATGACTAATTAGAATTGGTGGTAAGAGGCGACTTTATTGGTTGTGTATATATATTGCATGCAGAGAAATTACCTGAGGGAATTGTAACTTTTGGGAATATTCTTACACAGAGAAGCAAGCCTGTAGCTAAAAATCTTGTGTAGGGGAAAGTGAATTTGCAATATATTTTTGAAAATGAAATATATATGGAAGGATGGACCTGCAGCAAAATGTGGTAGCATATATCCTTTCTCCTTAATGGATTGCTCCTGTTTGGGGTTCAAGGCAACCATTCCTTCCAAGGAGGGCTGTCCATTCTTTTTTTGACTTCTCTGTACCATTTTCCCTATTTCAAATACCACTTTGCTTATTTGACTATTAAACATGTTCAGACAAATTAACTTGTCTGGGACCTTTCCCCCCTCCCCCCCTCATTATTTTTGAACATATTTTTATTCTTCAAATATTAGGTTGTCCTAAGCTTGCTGACACCTCTTATTTATCAGTGGCCCTGTTCTGGCTGTACAGCTGTGGACAATGGGCCACCTGAATCTGCCATTAAAATGTGTGCCTTTTATATAAAACACAGGAAAAATAAAACCCTAATTTTAAAAAACCTACACTGTCATGAGGTCTAGTATGCATATTTTGGAAAGTTATTTTGTAAATTGGAGCCTGTTCTTTGGAAAGCCAGATTTCACTTCCCATGTGGAGCCAAGCCTTATCTGTTTACTTGGAGTTTTTCTACATAAAGATGTTAATTGGCTGATAATTCACTATATCTGCATTGATTTGATAGCAGTATTGAAATCCACACACTATACAAAAAGTGTTGTGTTGTGGTGCGGTGCTGTGCTTGCTACATAACTTCTAGGTGGCACTCCGGTGTAATGTGTGCAAATACACAAGTAGAAACATCGTTTTCTTTTATTTTAAGAAATACATGCCACATTTTTCCTTAACTTAAAAAAGTCACCAGAGGTGAAGCTAAGAGGCAACAATGTTGCCTCAAAGTAGGGGATGGTGAGTGAATGAGAAATGCCTTGTGTAGAAAAGCATGTAATATGAGACAAGGCTGTTCACCTATAAAAGAGTTAATGCCCAGACTGCTATTGCACCAATAGTATTTATGCATATGTTACTCTTGTTTTAACTATTCTACAATGGATAGAGTTAATATATGTATGGAAAATGAAAGATGCTTCCACTCGTGATATAATGATTAGAATCTTTAATCCATTAATTTCAGTTGGAGGTACTTTAGATATCTGCCTTATAATTATTTTTAAATGTGTATTCGGGATATATAGAGAACTTTCCAGTGCTCTCAGTTTGATTTGGTGAGGACCCAAAGGGAAAAATACTTTGTGAACTTTTGCTCAATGAAGCTAGCTGTCTCTTCCTTCTAAAATTAATAAAGCAGCATTGTTCTTTATGGATATGGGAAAACACTGCTGTTTTAGGGGGATGCATGTATTTTAAACAAAAGAGTTTTAAAATGAGTGCATGCAGGATGCCGTGTCTGTTAGCACATTGTCACCAACCCACCTCCTGGCTTCTTTATTGTGATGTCCCTGGATTGATTGTTGAGACTTCCAAATCTTGCTCTCTGTTGTTGGCAGGGGAACAAGCTAGAGTCTGAACATACCACTTAGATGAAAATAAGGGTGAAGGTGACATACTAATAGATACAAACATCCATGCTTCCTTGAGGGTAAGGTGGGAGAAAACTTGCTCCAGGATAATTTGGTCATCTCTGGTCTATACACCTGAACACCGTCCTCTTGAGGAACCCTCCTGCCAAGCATTCTAGCTCATCAGAGACAGATCTTTGATGACGTGTGTGGCAGAAAACATGGCAAAATGGCAGTCCTGGTTATGAAGTTAATTTCCAGCTGTTGTGGTTCTGAAGAAATACAACCACCACCCACAGAGCTTTGGCTATAGGCCGTATAGGAACAAACATGTCCATATGCACCATATGTTAGTTATAGCAATAGCAGAAATGTAAGTTGACAAAGACTCTTCAGTTCAGTGCAATTTGCTCAGCTTTGCTGTACGGGTATTTCAGCCCTACACCCAAAAAGGAATAGCAATAAAGCATTGCTTTTGTTCTTAATCAGATGAAGTAACTGTAGTTTCTGATCCTCTTTTTTTTTTTTTTTTTTTTTGCAGAGATCAGAATGCTATGGATCCAGCTATGGAGTATGTAAAGGTATGAAATATCATTTCATTACTTCCAAGCCCTCCCGCGAAAAGCTAAAAATCATTGTCCTCTTAGCAAATGCCAATAATTCCAATAAAGCCTCTTCAGTTCATTATGCCACAGTGTTATGGTGGAGTGATTCTTTGGAAAGAGTGGATAACTAATTAGACTGCTCAAATCAAGAAAGTGGAAAGCAAGGTTGGTTTGTGACCTTGGTAATTAATCATCACTGTCAGTAAAGGCATTTTCATTATATTCTGACATTCAGGCTGTTATAGCAGAAATAGAACAATTTGTTTTTGGTCATTTGATCTTTAATGTCTTTGTCTCCTGCATTGATATGGCTTGGGGATACTTTTGGACACAGGCTCCCAAAAACTGGGAGTAGCTGTTAGTAGCTTTTGCTAACTTTTCTTTCCTGATCTTTTATTCTACACTATTTTACCCTAGGAAATGTTGTACAAATTACATTTTCAGGTTTGACCAAAAACAATTTGTTTTTGGTCATTTGATCTTTAATGTCCTGCATTGATATGGCTTGGGGATACTTTTGGACACAGGCTCCCAAAAACTGGCATTTCTACTGGCCCCCAAAAAAGAAGCATTTAGGAAAACCTGTCAGTCAGATGAGACAGAGCTGGGAAAATGTGATTCCTTTCATTAGTGGTTTATATGTCGAAGGATTAAATAACGAGCATTTGTAAAACTTCCGGAGACAGAACTGTTCTTGAATGTGAAACATCCACTAATTAGAGGCAACATATTCTGAGTTACTGACAGTACAATGTGTATGTATTTATTAAGGTATAAGTTGAATTCAGTTGGACTTACTCTCAAGTAAGCACATATAGGATTGCAGCCTTAAAGACTTTGTTGTATCAACACTATGGCTGCCTTCCCCAGTGGTGCCCTCTGTTGGTGTTACACAACAATTCCTATCAGCTGCAGTCACCATGGCCAATGGTCTGGGGTGATGGGATTTGTAGTTCAAAGCAACTTCATGAAGACCATACATTGGAGAGGACTGAACTTTGGGAGTATGTTAGTAGCTTTTGCTAACTTTTCTTTCCTGATTTTTTATTCTACACTATTTTACCCTAGGAATGTTGCACAAATTACATTTTCAGGTTTTTTTTTAGTTTAAATCATTTCAGGTACAATTCACATGAATCAAATGTTAGTTGATCTTGAGAGGTAATGAGGCCATCTGAAAAAAGCCCTGTTTTTTCAACAACAGTTGAGTTGTTAACACATCACTCTTGGAACTTGCTGCACTGGGATGTCTAAATATTATGCCATACTGAAATATCTGGTATTTTGTCTGTTTTTATGTGATTATATGTAACCCTTTGTGTCTCTTGCTGAGCTGTAATGTTTTAAGCTGCAAATTGGGTGACCCCACACTTACTTATTCATTGTGTGTGTGTGTGTGTGTGTGTGTTTGTGTATCTGCCGCTAAGAAAAGTGTCATGGCAGGGAGAATCCTAGATCAAAACCTTTTTCCATGATATGTTAAATGTTCTCTTTGTAAGCAGACTTTATCCCTCTTTTAAAAAAGTAATGGGGAGTATTCAACCCAGTTAGGAATCAGAATGGCACAGTCCAGAAAGGACTACACCATGTTACTCTCCTGAACTGTGTGTTTCAGCAATACTTCCTCAGGGGCAGCATTCACCTGAAAAAATATGCTAGGATTCTGGCTTGCAGCCTGTTTGCTCTCACATTGTCCTGCTAAGACAAATAACTGAACAAATTTTAAAAAAAGTTTGCTTTGCTAGTTTTCACCCTGGTTTATGGTTTGTTGTTCTGAAACAAGCCAGGATGTGCATGCAAAGATAGACTGCGTTTATTTTTACCTATAAATCCTGGTTTGTTTGGGAGCAACAAACCAGGCATCCAGGTTTAGGTAACATATGAACAAGTCATTTGTACTTTGTTGAGCTACTCATGCTAGCAGGAATAGCCAAGAAGGTTCACTCCCGGTAAGCCAGGACCAGTATTCTGGCTTACTGTTCCACGTGCATGCAGCCAGTGCTTTGTGTGATTTATCTCCATCAATCAATAATAAAAAGACCACAGTATTTTATTAAGATTACTTTCTGAATTGGAGGATACTCTTCTATAAGTCCCATCCATAAACAGTCCCAGTGTTGCTGAGTAACTGATTCTGCTTCTACTGCTTTTTCTGTTTTCCTTTTAGACTCCCATGATGAGTTTTACTAAGGCACAAAGTCTGCTTGTTTGCTTGAGCTCAGAGTGTTAAACCACATTCCGAGTTGTCCATTAGTGATCTCTGTGCTTTATTTCAGATAAACTTGGGCATGTATCTGTTCCTGAAGGAAATGACCATGATAAGCAGGAAGCTGTAAAAAGAACCCTTGAACTGTAATTTTGTGCATTCTTACTTGAGACTAATCACCACTGCAATCAGTGGTTTTTCCAACTCAATGGCTCACGCCATAAGATGCTGTAAGTCCTGCTGCAGCGATTACATCTTCTGTGTTCTGCAGACTACAGTACAAGAATATTGGAGCAGGCAGTTTAAATGATGCCAAATATTTTGAGTAGGGGCTGATTGCTCCTCAGCCTGTTCTAAAACTCGGTAAGAACTGTTGAGAGGATGAATAATGTTTTGGGACTTGAGAAGATGTGCACAAGTTTTTAGTTGCATATACATAGTTAGATGATTTCACAGATATCTGGGTAAACTGTTCATGGACTAAAGGCTGTAGGTCAGAGGTTCTCAAACTTTGATCTAGCAGGCCAAGTGTAAATAAGGAAACCCAGCTTTGCAAGTATAACTAACAGAGAATCAATCTGAGAGTTTCTCCCAGTTTGGGGCAGTCTGGAAGAACTTCTCTGCAAAATATATATGCCATAAAGAAATGACATGCTGTGGGGTAGCCAAATGGGAAGCCATGCAAAGCCCATTATGGAGTGGCTGCTGCATTTGTACATTAATCAAAAAATGAGGTTTAGCATTCCACCTTGTTAGTATCTTGGCTTGCACTTAAAAAAAAAAGATTTCTCAGCTTTTAGGGCTGCACTCAACCCAGAAAGTTTAAAGGCAATAGCTACTGGCAATAGAAAAAGATTCCTCATGATGGTAGGCAAGCTTGTGAAAGATCTTCATCATTTTCCATAAGCAGAAAAAATAGAGCAAAGTAAGAGAGTTCATGCAAATTGTCATGGGAGAGCCTATGGTCTTGTAGAGGGGCCTTTGTATTCTGATTATGGTAGAGGCTTGGTGGATGGTTACCCATGAGAGAGAAGCATGTGACTCCAGCATCCTTTGTTTATCTGCTAACCTGGACTCTGTTCTATTGTATTGTAATTTTATGCAGAGTTGCTGTATTTTATGGCTGAATGGTGCACAAGCTCCAAAAGGACTGGATGTAAATAAATAAAGGGTACAGATTAGAAGATTTGCATTTTATTCCTCTTTAAAAAGGGAGAACAATTATAAGCAAAGTCTAAAGCAAAACACAATCCTACTCAGTTTGTGCTTTAAATGGACCCATCTCAACTGGCTTCATATTGCATAGCATGCTGTCGTATAGAATTCATCAAAATGCAGTGGTGCAGAATCCAAATACATACAAACATACATACTTAATACAAGTTCTTATTAGAAGGAAGATCCAGTCTTTGATCCTGGGGAATGTGTCTGCTGATTGACAGCAGGTGAAGATGCCAACTGATGTTGATTAAGAGCAGACATTAATGGATTGTGTTTTTGCAGTGCATATGTAAATCTGTTTTAGATCTCTTGTGCTTGTTCCTGTTTTTCACATGGATTTGCCTGCTGATTGGCCCTACTTGGAAATGTCAGTTCAGTGATAGCTTATCTTGGTGTATAAGCTGTCACTTTGCAAGCTGGTATAGTCCTCCCAAGTGGGGAGAAGAATCTTACCCTGAATATAGGTTGGGCATCAGTCTCAGAAGCATGATAAGCTCCTCTTCACACCTTAACAAGACCTTACAAACAATCAGCTTGCTAAATGCTAATCTGTACCTACCGTATTTTTTGCTCTATAAGACGCACTTTTCCCCCCTCAAAAGTAAGGGGAAATGTCTGTGCGTCTTATAGAGCGAATATGTGTGTGCAGTAAGTCTGTCAGATGTGCAGCCCATGGGGAAGTGATGGGGAGTGTGCCTGTGATTATGTGCCCATTTGATTCAGAATATTTTTTTCTTGTTTTCCTCCTCTAAAAACTAGGTGCGTCTTATGGTCAGGCGCGTCTTATAGAGCGAAAAATTTACTTTTAGTGCTAAACAGAATGAAGGGGATTCAGTATGTTCTTTCCAATCTATTTGAGTGAAGATGGAACCCCCATTGGCCAGTTTCAAGCAATAATAATTACATCCTGTGTTGCTTCTACAGGCATAAGCCAAGCCAAGCAGTGTCAGCCTTTTAAACCTATTATAGTCTGATTTTGAACAATACCCATGTTGTAGGTTTGCTGTATCATTTTACTTTTCATCATCTGGGCTTTCCTTTTGTTTGATAAACACTTCTGTATGTCTCTGAAGCAAATAATTAGTTGCACTTTACATGTAAATTAAGAGATCTGTCTAGAGATGCCACACTAAAGACAGAAAGAAGAAGGAATGAATTCTGTTTCCTATTAATGTCTCTCAGAGACACATGAGAACGTGGGATATTTTTAGCCTGTTCATTTGTAGCATAGATTCTAGAGGGGGAACCATTTTTAAAAGCCTGCAAAATAGCATTTGTAATAGCTGAATACAAATGAATGCTTTTTTATAACATCTATAAAGTATTGCTGCATTAGGTCATTCTGCAGCTAAAAAAGGAAGCTGCTGGTTATACAAAAGCTGGGACCCATGAACAAGTGAATGTACTGAGAAGTGGCTGTGTGATTAGAACTCTTCTTTTGTTCCATTAGCACTGCTGAAACTCTGTGGTCACAGTTAAATAGCTCTTTTAGAATTGGTCTTTATTCCCCAAGTGAAAAGAGGTTAATCCACTTTGTGCTAGTCGCTCA